AATAAATATATATAAAATATATATATAATCTGTACATGGAAAATTATAAAACACTATTGCAAGAAATAAAAATAAACTTGAACAGACCGAAAGACACCCTATATTCATTTTTTAAATTATGTTATGTTAATCACAGTACATTACATCATTAGTTTTTGATGTAGTGTTCCATGATTCATTGTTTGCGTATAACACCCAGTGCTCCATGCAGAACGAGCCCTCTTTAATACCCATAACCAGGCTAACCCATCGCCCCACCCCCCTCCCCTCTAGAACCCTCAGTTTGTTTCTCAGTCCATAGTCTCTCATGGTTCGTCTCCCCCTCTGATTTTCCCCCCTTCATTCTTTCCCTCCTGCTTTTTTTTTTTTTTGACATATAATGTATTATTTGTTTCAGAGGTACAGGTCTGTGATTCAACAGTCTTACACAATTCACAGCACTCACCAAGACACCCTATATTCTTGGATTGAGTGATTCAATTCCTAAAGAGTCAATATTATTTGAGTTAATATAAAAAATGACATACGAAAATATGTGATCAGTAAAAATACTGATTTTTTTGTGAAGCTAGAAAATTCGAGTCTTGAATTTCAGTAGCAAATAGTCAAGAAAATTTTGAAAAAGAAGAGCATATTAAATCATACTTTTGTAAAGTCATTATATTTAAACAGTGTGATATTACATCTAAGAACAGACAGACAAAACAATGAAAGTGAATGGAAAGTATAGAGCAAGTATATACGGATATTCCATATATGATAAAGGTGGCTTTTCAAATTACTGGGAAAAGCTGGACTTTTAAGTAAATTATCACAGGGCAGTTGGAAAGTAGGAATTATAATTCAAAGTATGAAGCATAATTGGAAATATCAATAAATTCAGCAAAAATATATTTTCCACGGAAAAGGAAGAAGAAATAAAACACCATATGGAAGCCAAAATACAACTCTATTCAACAACCTTTGCAAAGTTATGTCGTATAACAGATGATCTCAAAATCTCAGTGGCCAGCAACAACAACTTGCCTCACTGGACAACTCTGGATTAAATGTGTTCCACATCATCCTGTCCCCTTTCATAGAGCCACCCCCTTATGAATCACTTCTATTCTTCCAACTGTCATTTAACACTCCCACATATGGTTCATAAGGTTTCCATTTGCTTCACATCTTTGCCAACACTTGTTTTTAATTTTTGTTTTTCTGGTGGGTGTGCAGTAGTATCTCATTGTGGTTTTAATTTGCATCTCCTTAGTGACCAATGAAGTTGAACATTTTTTCCTGGACTTGTTCATTTGCAAAGTATTTGCACATTTTTTACTTGGTTGTCTTATTATTGAGTTGTAAGACTTCTCTGTATATGCTGAATCCAAGTAGTTTGTAACATATACATTTTGCAAATACTTTCTCACCATCTGTGACTTGCCATTTAATTTTCCTAAAGGAATTTTCTGACAAGCACAATTTTTTAATTTTGGGAATATTTAATTACAATTTATTTATTTTTTTTTTTGGTGACTCCTATATTTTGTGTCCTATCTATGCTACTTTGGCCTTACCCAAGATCACAAAGATTTTCTCATGTTTTTTTTCTAGAAGTTTTCCACTTTTAAAGCCCTTGTGTTGAGGTCCATAATCTATTTTGAATCAAATTTTGTGTATAGTGTCAGGAAAATGCTAAAGCCCCCTTTTTCCATATTGATATCCAGTTAACCCAATACCATTTATTGAAAAGACAAATTTTCCCTCATCAATTCATTTTGTTAAATTGTCAAAAACTAACTTACCATATAATTATACATCTATTTCTTAACTCCCAATTCCATAACATTGATCTAAATATCTATATTGATGCCAATATTGTACTACCTTGTTTACTGTTTGAAGTCAGGGTGTATAAATCCTCCAAATGCATTCTTCTTTTTCAAAATTTTATATTCTATATACTCATATTCTCATATAAACTGTAGAATCAGTTTGACAATTTCTTTAAAAGTGTCTATTGGGATTTTATTTGCAGTTGTGTTAAATTTATAAATAAATTTGGAGAGAATCAATACCTTAACAATATTTAGTCTCCCAATTCATGAACTTTTTATGGTTCCCCAATTATATATGTCCTCTTTAACTTTATTCAGCAATCTTTTCAATTTTCATTGTACAGGTATTGTAGATGTTCTTAAAATTATCTCTAAGCATTATATAGATTTTTAATGCTATTGTATTTTCATTGCTAGTATCTAGAAACCCACTTTGTTTTGGTATACTGGTCTTGGATTATCATGTGATGCTGTTATATTCACTCAAAAGTTAGAGTTAGAGTAGGTTTTTTTTTTTTTTCAGTAGCATCCTTAGGAATTTCTATGTGCATCATGATGTTAGTCACAAAGTAAAAGCAGTTTTATGTCTTTCCTGTGTGCATGCGTGTGTGTGTGTGTGTGTGTGTGTGTGTGTGTGTGTGTGTGTTTATTTTCCTTGCTTTACTGCACAGGCTAGGATTTCCAATGTAATGTAAAATAAAATAAATGTGGCAGACATTCTTGCCTTATTCCCAGTCTTAGAGCAGGTGATTATTTAATCTTTCACTACTCAGTATGGTGTTAGCTGAATGTTTCCTTCTCTTACTCTAATATTTATGTTTGGCTGAGAGCTTTTAGAATCAGTGGATGATGCATTTTGTAAAATTTTGTTTTTACTACATTTATTGAGATGATCAAATGCTTTTCTCCTTTATTCTCTTTATATGGGAGAATTATATTGAGTTTAGAATGTTAAACAAACCTTATGATCCTGGAATAATACCGTACTTGATTATTACATATTATCTGTTTTTTATATTGCTTGATTTAGTTTTCTAATCTGGTTAAGGATTTTGCATCTAGTATTTTGAAGGATATTGGTCTTTAGCTTTGTTTTCTTGTAATGTCTTTGTCTGAAGATGATAACAGTATAATCCTGGACTCATAAAGTGATTTGGAAATTATTGCATCCTTCTCTATTTTCCAAGAGAATTTATGTGTGATTGGTATTATTCCTTTTTTAAATATTCAATAGAATTTTCCTAGGAAGCCACCTGGGCCTGGAGTTTTCTTCCGGAAGAGCTTTTAAGTAATGAATTCAATTTCTTTAGTAAATATAAAACTATTTAGGTGTTTGTTTCTCTGTGAGCTAGTTTTGTAGTTTACACCATCAAGGAGTTTGTGTAATTCATTTACATTCCCAAGTTTATTGAAATAAAGTTGTTCATCATATTTCCTTATTATCCTTTTAATGACTGTCAGATCAGTAGTGATGTTTCTTATTTTATTCCTGATAAAGGTCATTTGTGTCTTCTCTCTCTGGGTTTTTTTTTTTTTATCCATCTAGTTAGTTTATCACTTTTGTTGACCTTTTCAAAGAATCAGAACTCAAAATTCAAAATTCAGAATTCAGATTTTTTAAATTTTATTCATCTCTATATTTTCTTTAGGTTTGTTCTCATCTTTATGAATTTGCTTGCTTTAATTTTTTATTTGTTCTTTCTTTAGCTTTCTATAAGGGAAGTTTAGATCATTGATTGTGTACTTTTTGCACTTTATTAATATAAGCCTTAATAGATATAAATAGTGCTTTAACTGTATCACACAAACTTTGAAATGGAGTTGTTTTCCTTATATATAGTCCCAAATATTTACTAATTTCTCTCAGAATTTCTTCTTTGACCCAAGGACAATTTAGAAGTGTGATGATCATTTTGAGGATTTCCCATTTATCATTTACTCATTGATTTTTTTTGCTTAATTCTGCTATAATTAGAGAAGATATTCTATATGACTTTAATCCTTTAATATTTTATTGTTAAATTCATCTACTTGTATTATGATCCTGTGTGGTAGACAGAAAGTGGCCCCCTAATATGTCTATGTCAGAATCTCCAGAGCCTGTGAACTCCCAGAAACTTACACATCAAAAGGGTGATTACAGAGGTGATTAAATTAAGGATCTTGAGATAAGGAGATTGTGGATTATCTGTATGACAGTATAAATATATGTAGAATTTTGCTACATATTGCCTATTCTCCATAAAGCATTATGCTATTTTTCATTATCCCCCACAATATATATTATTGTCTCTATCCTTACAGACTTACTAGTAGAGTATATTGTCAAATTTTTGGATTTTTGCCAGTGTGGATAAATCAAATATTGTACCTCTAATCAGTTTTAATTTATATTTGATGTACAGTGATTAAGCTAAGCCTATTTTCATATACTGAGTCATTTGCATTTCTTTTCTAGGTGAACTGTTTATATCTCTCTCATGTCCTTTGTTGTTTTTTATATTTTCTCCTTCTAGTAACTGTTTTTGTTTGAGGTATTAACCATTTGCCTATGATGAAAACTGCAAGCATTTTCCCCCAAGTTTATCATTCATCTCTACTTTGTTTGTGGTGTTTTCTGCCAGTGTTTAAATTACTTTTGACCCAGTATACTGACTATACATCTTTATACCATATCCTAAAGAGAAAAAAGAACTGACACAAAATATTAAACCATACTGTTTATGTGTATCATAGAATAAAGTAAATGTGCTAATTAGAAACCAAGAATTTCAGTATAGAACAAACAAAATAAGCACAAGACCAAAGAAATTAAGGAATGCACTATATCATTAAATTTGAATCTTAAATAACAATATAAACTCAATATTTAAGTATACTTATATTTACATATGTCCTAGTTTTATCCACTGAAATGCTTCTGGAAGCAATAACAGCTCAGTAAAAATGAATACTCCTGACATACAAGTCTTGATTTCCGACTACCAATTCTCACTAAAAGAAATCATAGGTCCTTCAGGAAATTTGAATTCAGATCTGGAGCATAGAAAATACAAGGTGAAGCTGTAATATCTTATGATGCCATCAGGCAAAATTTATGTCAAAAGGACACAGACATTTTTAAGGGACTTATTCTAGTCAATTTTAAGATAGTAATATTTAAATATTAAGATTTGAGTAGTGTTCATTTCGGCAGCACATATACTAAAATTGGAACAATACAGAGAAGATTGGCATGGCCCCTGCAAGAGGATGACATGCAAATTTATGAAGTGTTCCATAATTTTTGGGGGAAACAGGATCTAGTGTCCTTTGGGTTTTGTTTGTTTGTTTTTGTTTTGTTTTGTGTGTGTTTGGGGTTTTTTTGGATACAGAAAGAGCAATATTTAAATTTATTTTATATATTTTATATATTTTTTAATTTTTAACTTTTTTTTCTTTTCTTTCTTTCTACTTTTCTTTTCTATCAAGCTTCTCTAACAAGCAGACCAAAACGCACCTAGGATCTAGCTTCCTTTATTTATTTTATTTTATTATTTTATTTTAAAAATTTTTTATTTTGTTTGATTTTCTTTTGCTTTTTGCTTTTTTGTTTTTGTTTTTTCCTCCAAAATGACAATATGGAGGAATTCACCCCAAAAGAAAGAACATGGCCAGAGCGGTAGTCAATACAGGTATAAGTAGGATGTATGAAATAGATTTTAAAACAACAATTATAAGAATACCAGCTGGGCTTGAATAAAGCATAGAAGACACTAGAGAATCCCTTACTGCAGAGATAAAAGAACTAAAATCTAGTCAGGCCAAAATTAAAAATGCTATAACCAAGATGCAAGCCCAAATGGATGCCATAAAAATGAGGATGGATGAAATAGAGGAATGAATCAGTGATATAGAAGATAAAATTAAGAAAAATAATGAAGCTGAAAAGAAGATGGACACAAAGGCAATGGGTCATGAAGGCAAACCTAGGGAACTCAGCAACTTATTAAAATAGAATAACGTTTGTATCATAGGAATCACAGAAGATGAAGAGAGAAAAGGGGGCAGAAGGTTTATTTGAGCAAATTATAGCAGAAAACTTTCCTAATCTGGGGAAGCATACAGGCATCAAAATCTAAGAAGCACAGAGAACTCCCATTAAATTCAACAAAAACTGACCATCGCCAAGGCATATCATAGTCAAATTCACAAAATACACAGACAAGGAAAGAATCCTAAAATCAGCAAGGGAAAAAAGTCCTTGGCAGGCCAAAAGACAGTGGCAGGGTATATTCAGTGTGCTGAATGGGGAAAATACGCAGCCAAGAGTACTTTATCCAACAAAGTTGTCATTCAGAAGAGAAGGAGAGATAGAGTTTCCCAAACAAAAACTAAAGGAGTTCGTGACCACTAAACCAGCCCTGCAAGAAATATTAATGGGGACTCACTGAGTGGGGGAAAAAAAGACCAAAAACAACAAAAGACTAGAAAGGAACAGAGAATATCACCAGAAACACCAACTCTACAGTGACATAAAATTCAAATCTTATAATAACCACTTTGAATGTAAATGAACTAAATGCTCCAATCAAAAGACATAGGGTATCAGCATGCATTAAAAAAAAAAAAAACATGATCCATCTATATGCTGCCTACAAGAGACTCATTTTAGACCTAAAGACATTGGCAGATTAAAAGTGAGGGGATGGAGAACGATTTGTCATGCTAATGGACAGCAAAAGAAAGCCAAAGTGGCCATACTTAAATCAGACAAACTAGATTTTAAACTAAAGACTGTAACAAGAGATGAAGGGCATTATATCATAATTAAGGGATCTACCCATCAAGAAGATCTAACAATTGTAAATATTTATGCTCCCAACTTGGGAGCACCCAAATATTTTAATCAATTAATAATAAACATAAAGAAACTCATGGATGATAATACATTAATAGTAGGGACTTTAACACCCCACTTATGGGAATGGACAGATCACCTAAGCAGAAAATCAACAAGGAAACAATAGCTTTGAATAAAACACTGGACCATGGACTTAACAGATATATTCAGAACATTTCATTCTAAAACATCAGAATACACATTCTTTTCAAGTGCACACAGAACATTCTCCAGAATAGATCACATACTGAGGCACAAATCATCCCTCAACAAGTACGAAAAGTTTGAGATCATACTATGCATCTTTCAGACCACAATGCTGGGAAACTTGAAGTCAACCACAAGAAAAAATTTGGAAAGACCACAATAACATGGAGGCTAAAGAACATCCTACAAAAGAATGAATGGGTTAATCAGGAAATTAACAAAGAAATAAAAAAGCACATGAAAGCAAATGAAGATGAAAACACAACAGTCCAAAACCTTTGGGAGGCAGCAAAAGCAGTCTTAAGAGGGAAGTATATTGCCATACAGGCCTACCTCAAGAAGAAAGAAAAGTCTCAAATACACAACCTAACCTTACACCTAAAGGAGCTAGAAAAGAAACAGCAAATAAAGCCTAAAGCCAGCAGAAGAAGGGAAATAACAAAGATGAGAGCAGAAATAAATAATATAGAAACAAACAAACAAAAAACCCCAGTAGAACACATCAACAAAACTAAAAGCTGGTTCTTCAAAAGAATTAATAAAATTGATAACCCCCTAGCCAGACTTATCAAAAAGAAAAGAGAAAGGATGAAAGTAGATAAAATCACCGATGAAGAAAGAGAGATCACAACCAACACCACAGAAATACAAGCAATTATTATTGCTTGGTATTATTAACACCAAAAAATACAAGAATACTATGAAAAATTGCATGGCAACAAACTGGGCAATTTGGAAGAAATGGACAAATTCCTAGAAACTTACAAACTACCAAAACTGAAATAAGAAGAAATAAAAAATTTGAACAGATCCATAACCAGCAAAGAAATTGAATCAGTAATCAAAAACCTTCCCAGAAATAAAAGGCCTGGTCCAGATGGCTTCTCAGAGGAATTCTACCACTTAAAGAAGCATTAATACCTATTCTTCTCAAACTGCTCCAAAAAATAGAAACAAGGAAAACTTCCAAACTCATTCTATGAAGCCAGCATTACCTTGATTCCAAAACCAGACAAAGACCTACTAAAAAGGGGAATTACAGGCCAATAACCCTGATGAACATGTATGCAAAAAATCTCAATAAACTACTAGCAAATCGAGTGCAACAGTACATTAAAAAAATTACTCACCATGATCAAGTGGGATTTATTTCTAGGCTGTAGGGGTGGTTCAATATTTGCAAATCAATCAACGTGATGCACTACATTAATAAAAGAAACGATAAGAACCATATGATCCTGTCAATAGATGCAGAAAAAACGTTTGACAAAATACAGCATCCACTCATTTTTTAAATTTTATTTTATTATGTTATATTAATCACTATACATTACATCATTAGTTTTTTAAAAATTTTTTATTGTTATGTTAATCACCATATATTACATCATTTGTTTTGGTGTAGTGTTCCATGATTCATTGTTTGCATATAATACCCAGTGCTCCACGCAGAACATGCCCTCTTTAATGCCCATCACCAGGCTAACCCATCCTCCCATCTCCCTTCCCTCTAGACCCCTCAGTTTGTTTCTCAGAGTCCATAGTCTCGTAGTCCAATCGTCTCCCCGTCCGATTTCCCCCCTTCATTTTTCCCTTCCTGCTATCTTCTTCTTCTTCTTTTTTTTTTAACATACAATGTTTTATTTGTTTCAGAGGTACAGGTCTGTGATTCAACAGTCTTACAAAATCACAGTGCTCACCATTACACATACCCTCCCCAGTGTCTAACACCCAGCCACCCCATCCCTCCTAACCCCCACCACTCCAGCAACCCTCAGTTTGTTTCCTGAGATTAAGAATTCCTCATATCAGTGAGATCATATGACACACGTCTTTCTCTGATTGACTTATTTTGCTCAGCATAATACCCTCCAGTTCCATCCATGTCATTGCAAATGGCAAGATTTCATTCCTTTTGATGGCTGCATAGTATTCCATCGTGTCTGTGTGTGTGTGTGTGTGTGTGTGTGTGTGTGTGTGTGTGTGACTTCTTTATCCATTCATCTGTCAATGGACATTTTGGCTCTTTCCATAATTTGACTATTGTGGACATTGCTGCTATAAACATAGGGGTGCATGTACCCCTTCAGATCCCTACATTTGTATCTTTGGGGTAAATACCCAGTAGTGCAATTGCTGGGTCATAGGGTAGCTCTATTTTCAACTTTTTGAGGAACCTCCATGCTGTTTTCCAGAGTGGTTGCACCAGCTTGCATCCCTATCAACAGTGTAGGAGGGTTCCCCTTTCTCCACATCCTTACCAACATCTGTCGTTTCCTGACTTGTTAATTTTAGCCGTTCTGACTGGTGTGAGGTGGTATCTCATTGAGGTTTTGATTTGGATTTCCCTGATGCCGAGCGATGTGGAGCACTTTTTCATGTGTCTGTTGGCTAGTTGGATGTCTTTTTTGGAAAAATGTCTGTTCATGTCTTCTGTCCATTTCTTGATTGGATCACTTGTTCTTTGGTGTTGTCAAACTCAACACCCAAAGTACAGCATCCGTTCTTGATAAAAATGCTCAACAGAGTAAGGATAGATGGAACATACCTCAATATTATAAAGGCCATATATGAAAGACCCACAACTAATATCATCCTCAATGCTGAAAAACTGAGAGCTTTTCCCCTACAGTCAAGAACAAGATAAGGATGTGCACTCTTACCATTACTATTTAACATAGTATTGAAAATCTTAGTCTCAGCAATCAGACAACAAAAAGAAATAAAAGGCATCTGAATCAGCAAAAAAAAAATCAAACTTTTATTATTTGCAGATGACATGATATTCTATGTGGAAAGGCTGAAAACCTCCACCAAAAAATTACTAGAACTAATACATGAATTCGGCAAAGTGGCAGGATATAATACCAATGTGCAGAAATCTGTTGCATTTTTGTACACCAATAATGAAGCAAAAGAAAAGGAAATCAAGGAATCAATCCTATTTGCAATTGCAGCAAAAAGAGTAGGTTACCTAGGAATAAACCTAACTAAAAAGGTAAAAGATCTGTGCTCTGCAAACTATAAAACACTTATGAAAGAAATTGAAAAGGACACAAAGAAATAGAAAAACATTGCTTTTCATGCTCATGGAGTGGAAGAACAATGTTTAAATGTTTAAACAAAGTAATCTACACATTTAATGCAATCCCTATCAAAATACCACCAGCATTTTTCACAGAGCTAGAAAAAACAATC